AACAAAAGTGAGAGATGAGAGGGTGATTAAGAGGAAGTAGATGGTCCAGGGGCAAGTCTCCTTAGGTTAAAGGTCTCAAAAGAAAGAGACTCACGGTGAGGGCAACAGGGAGAATGAGGGCGTGAGATCCCCACTCCTGCGTCTCTATGGTGGTACACATGAAGCCCAGCCTGTCTCTCTAGAAGAGCCCTTAGAGTCTTTCTAGATTAAAAATAAAGCAACCACAGGAGAGCCTGTCTTCACGAAGTGTTCCTGGTGCTTCCTCACCATGGCCTCCCTCGGGGATGCGACCCAGAGAAAACTGCTGGGGTAGTTTTCTACTTTGTAGATCTCAGTCTTGATGTCTTCCTAACGAGATGCTCTTTAGGACCACATCCTAAATTTATTTCACCATCCTCACACTCCTTAGCACATTTCCTGGCACCAAACTAGGTCCTCAAGAAGAATCTCGGATGGGCTGAAATTGTGGGCTTTCTGATGGTTCTGTGTGCATCACTGACAGTAAAGCAGCCCTCAGAAGGGAGTTCACTTAGGGGCCATTCCAGAGAGCACCCAACAACTGAGTTTACCACTGTTACATGCACCACATTAAAAATGGCATGCAGGGGCCCTGGCCGGGTGGCTCGGTTGGTGGGAGTGTCCTCCTGTACGTCAAAAGATTGTAGGTTTGATGCTCAGTCAGGGCACGTACCAAGGTTGTGGGTTCAATCCCTGGTCAGGCACATAAAGGAAGCAAGGGATATCTCCTTCCGTCTCCTCCCTCTCCTTCTCCCTCCCCCTCCCCCTCCCCCTCTCCCTCTCCCTCTTACTCTCACTCTCCCTTCCTTTCTCTCTAAAATCAATAAAAACATATCCTTGGGTGAGGTTTTAAAAATAAAAGGCATGCAGGGTAGTGAGGATTTAAAAAGGCAGTTCGGGGTCAGGGAGCTTTGGGAGGAGGGGTGTTTGGGGGCTCTGTTCCCATTGGAGCAAACCACGGGGGCGTGTTGAAAATGGTCTTGTGCGTATCTGTGTTAAGAGCCATTCAGTGAGACTTAAAGGGGGTGGCTGTCTACGCTAGAAGATGAAGCAGCGCAAGAACTGTTCCCTCGGTCTGCCTTCCTGGCCGGGGAGGAAGACCTCTGCTCTGCTCTGTGTCGCCTGCCTGTGGAGAGAAGCCGGACCAGGCAGGGCCTCCTAACATTTCCCAGAGCCCAGGAGCTGGCTTTTAACACCTTTGTCGCTGTGGCTGTTTCTGCTGGAGCAGTGTTTGTCAAAGCACAAGTGGGCTTTGAAGTCCACTTAGTGGTTCTGAATGAAAGACAGGGCTGGATGAAGGTGCATAATTGTAGGAAAGGCTGTTGTTCTGTGAAACCTTTATTAGAAACGGGTGGGTGTGTGCACACTCTCAGGTCAAGGTCAGTGTGAAGTGTATTTATTACTCTGGGTCATGGAAATATTCTATAGAAGAGTATAGGTGTTTAAGAGTAGGGACTAAAACATCTTTAGAGCAAAATGTTTTGCTCTAAAGTAGGTGTCTGGCAAATGTGTGAGTGAGTGAGTGAGTGAGTGATGGGAAATAAACGTTATGCAGTACCTTCCTGCCAGGGGTCCATGGGCACACAAGGGCTGGATGCAACTTGTTATATGTGCATTACAGCCACGAGTATGACTCAGGTATATTTGGTTCACATATGGATACTTGTATTTCTTATTTTCAGAAATGCTTTACAAAGCTGCACGCATAAATCATGCTAGCCTCGCAAGTAAGTGCTCCCTTAGTGCCCATTAACTTTACAAGATGGCAGTCGCCTTAAAAGCAATCTTTACACAGGAGGGAGTGTTCTGAAAAATTCAGGGTATTGCTAACTAAGCATAGCAGCCTTATACCATCCAGCCCTAAAAAAAAAAAAAAAAAAAAAAAAAAAGGCAAATAACCAACTCCACTGTTAAAAAATGAGACCTGGACTGGAAACATGGTCCCCGGTGGACTTGGAGCCAGTACAGTCAGGCACACAGCTACGGGCTCAGCAAAGTAGCAATCACCTCTATTAGGAAAGATTTAGGGGAGCCGCATCCCCAATGAAGAGAACAAGGCCTGCTGAGCTCCAGGAGGACGCCAGGGAAAGTAGGTCGTGGGCACATGGCTGGGCACAGTAATGGGCTCATCTAGGAGCCTGCAGAGTCATCCTTCTTAGTCTTCTCCAAACTGCTATGTCATCCAGAGTGGGAACTCACTCAGAGTCCTTCCAGAACCGCTGGGCCTTTAGCTGTGGGACGCATGCTCTCAGGAACTCGGGGAACCACTGTGCAGCCTCCACACGCTGTGCTTCCTGAAGCCAAAGCCGGTCGCCCTTCCCTGGGAAAGCGGGCAGGTGCAAGCGGAGGGCAGCTTCCTCTTCCCCGGAGGTCGCTCCCATCTATCTGAACCGCTCCCCACGTTTACCACAAACTTGAAGAAGAAAAGTTTTTGAGGAGAGAATGAGAGGGAAACTCTCTGATGCTACCCCAGGGTATATTGAAGTTCATCAGTTTACATTTAGAAATTTTAGCAAAATGGGCTTTCTATTAAAGGCTAAGTATAGTTTCTTAGGGCACTAAGTACTAACAATACTGAATAATGATCCTGAATAATGATCAAGGCCTTTGGATATTTAAACATTATGGCCAGAAAAGTCTGCCTCAAAAGATTTCATAGAACTTGTTCTTCACTTTGGAAAAAGAAAAACAGATTGAATAGAATCAATCTCTTTAGAAAAAGACAGAATTTCAGGCACATGGTAAAGCAAATAGATGTCACTGCCCCCTGCTGTCTGAGGAACACAGACTAAATGGCTGCAGGAGGTGGGGCAGAGAGGGGTGCCCCGCCCAGCTCAGGGCCACTTTGCTTGGCAGCGCTGATGTGTTTACTCTTTGGTTTAACACATTATTTATTCCCATTTAAAATCCAATCTACCTTTGCCATGGACAGTGATTTCTTGGCTAATACTGAGAAGAGGGAATGTGATCCTGTTTTTCATTTGTTTGCTCAGAAAAGAACATTTTAACCTACGCATGCCATCAACAACATGCAGCCGTGTGCTGGGAGCAGAAGTTCCTGGAGCATGTTCTTAAAGAGGCCACATCTCCAAACTTCACTTTGCCTGTGGCCAAAGTGTGGTCAGGGTGGAGCCCAGCCTCCTCTCTGCCTGTCCACCTCTCCCCTCTGCTCTCAGCCGTAGCCAAACTGGAACCTGCTTTGATGACACACAGGCCATGTGCCTGCTGCGGCCCTGGTCCTGGGATGCTCAGTGCTGAGGTTCCCTCCACACCCCCGAGTCGCCCCTCTGGAAATACCGTGCAGCCAGCATGCCATCTCAGCTACCACCTCCCTGTGCTGTGTTTGCTGAGTTCCCACCCGAGATGCCATCTGTCCCTTCTAGAAGCCCATAGCTCACACCTCTCTTCCGGATTTTAGCATATTGGACCATGCGCATGGTGACTAGGAAGTTGTCCTTGACTAGCCATTTTCCCGCTACCTGCTACCACTAGTCAAACTTTAAACTCACTGAAAGTTCAGGCTCCACCTGACCTGCAGTCAGCCTTACCAGCACCCAGCAGAAGCCTCACAGGAAATCGTGGCTGGGACAGACTTGGCCAGAAGAGCAGCCTAAGGATGAAAGGAATACCTCTCAGTGTCCTGAGCCCCAGAAACACTAAGCCCTGCCGTCACCTGCCCCGGTGACCATCGGTATTCCTCAGAACCCTGAAAATACCAAACATGCGCTCCATGTGTCCAGTCCATCTAGAGAGCAGAAAACCTATTAACTCAGCAAGCAGCCTGGGCTTGGTGCGTGGACTGCCAGTCTCAGCTCTCGGGTGCAGTAGCAGAGGCGGCCAGATTGAGGCCCCACTGACACCTTCCTAGTGCCCCTAAGGCTTGAAGATGCCATTGTGTGGCAGCATAATGACTGGTTTTGAAGGATTTTTTTTTAAATTATCATCATTCAACACTTTAGGATGATTGTAAATGATTCATGATAAAATATACGTGCGGCATCAGAGGTGAGTAAAGCAGACGTCAACATGCTGATTGCCCCTAAAAAGATGTTCTGAAACATTCATATTACACTGACTAAATGGAGCTGTGAGCCGAAGGGACAGCTTTGTGTGCAGACACAGGTGTCAGGTGTCAGGTTCGCCCTGTGGTGTTGGCCCAGCCACTCTGCCAGCTGGAGATATTCCAACCCTGTGCTGTTCTTCTCTGCAAAGTGTGGGGAGGGGCCAACATCCACTCACACCTTGTGGGGCGCCAGCAGGGAGCAGGTGCTCCCAGAGTCTTGACTGTAGAGCACGTGGACACGGCCCTGCACTCCCAGCCTTTCTCCTGGGCCTTCCCCATGAGATACGGGAGAGATATGCAAGTGCACACTGTTCATCCACACCAGGGGCAGAGAGCCAGAGAGAAAGACAATGCCAAAACCAACAAGACAGCTCCTCCTAGGAACGTCTCCTCCCTGGATGCACTTGCCCTTGCTTTCCAGCTTGCCTTCGCTTCCTGTTCCAGCAGGTGCCAGGAGTGGCCACACCCAGTTGCCATTCTGGCTGTGGGGCGTCTATACTTCATTACATTTGCTCACTCACCCCCCAAAAGTATCACTTGGGAACACCCAGTGGCTTCCTGAGCTTACGGCCCGGTCTTAGTAAAAGGAATTCGGGGCATGTGGATGGAGAAGGAGGAAAAGGTAAGGCTGGGAAATTGAACCAAGAAAACTGATTTTCCAGAACTCTGGGTTAAGAATCAGAAAACTTTAGTTCCAAAACCATCTTTGGCACTTACCGGCCATGCATGACAGTGAGTGAGTTACTGAGCCCCTTTGGGCTTCAGTGTCAGGTATTCCATGGGAATTCACTTCGCATTGATCCCCTGAGTCTCTGTTGTTGGCCCGGACCCTGGGAAGGAAGTGGCCACTCAGGTGGATGAGACGGGCCTGGGCGTCGGGTCTGCTGAGAGGCAGCTGGATGCTCCTGCTCTCAGGGTCACTGGGATAAGTGCCAGGACCAGCTCCTCACCCCGGCCCTTTCCTGCCCACATGGCGGGTGGGAGGGGCAGGTGGGAGAAGGTTCTAGAATGCCAGATCTCCGCACAGGTGGAGACTGTCACAGTCATCACGTAGGTCAGCCTGGAAATCAGAGGCCAGGAGAGAGATGAGGAGCTAAGCTAATGTGGCTTGGTCGTTATTATTTAAATCCCAAGTGTTGGAGGGGTTTGAAGTATATTTTAGTCCAATGTTGAACTTCTACAAGCCAGGAAATGACCTCAGGTGATGTTTTAAGTCTGCTTTCATCCTGGCTGCAGGTGACTGAGTTCGTGCAGTCTCTGCTGGGCGGTGAAGAGCATGCAAAGTGCTTCAAGAAAGAGGTAGGAAATGTCCAAGTCTATGTCTGTTTTATGCTTCTAGACCCAGAGGGGCCTTGTTTCCATTTCCTCCCGTAGAAATGAGAGCAGTTTGGGAGGCTGGAGAGGGGGCCCCGGCGGGAAAGAGCCCGCAGCAACCCGCCCGCAGGCAGCCTGTCTGGTTTGGGGTGTTTGCTGTGGTGCCTGGCTCACAGCCTGCGGAGCCAGTGGACCACTCGAGCATGGAGTTGGTACTCACAGCGTCCAGAAGCCTCTGCACTGTGGCTCTAGGCTACATGGAGCAGGGAGGGGTCCCACATGTGCCTGCCCCCGGAGGGAGGGGTTTGTCTGCTCTAGAGTGAAAGTGACCGTCCTGTGTGTCTGGTGCTTGGGCTGCTCAGGAGGGATGCAGAGAAGCCACGAAATCCTTCCGTGCAGGGGGGTGGGGGAGTTCTCTTCCCTCTTCCTCTCAGTGGTAACATACCAACTGCTTACCAATTGTCCTGGAATTGCTATCCATAGCTCCAGGGACCCCAGAAGAGACAGCCAGCTGCAGAGCAGTAATGCAAGTAGCAATGATAGCTATTGTGCATCAGGGGCTTGCCTGTGCCTGGCCCTGAGCCATCCCTGTGCAGTTGTCCTCCTGGGTCCTCACAGCTCTACAGCACAGCTCACCAGTGCAGAACCTCAAGCATGGGGAGGAAAGCAGTCAGGGTGCAGCCCATATGCACCCGGTTCCGGAGCTTCCATCATTGCTCTAGAACTCTCCAAGAACTCTGTTCCTGGGGACTCTGGGGTGCAACATAAACTCTTCCTCTCCAGGTGTCAGGGCCTCCTGGCTCAGGAGCAGCACTCTGAGTTTGGGATCCTGGACCCCTCAGAGCCCGGCGAGCCCTGCATTTTCAGGGAACTCAGCATCAGGGCCACTTGAGTCTCAGTCTGAGCAGCTGCCAGTGGAAACCCTGGTTCTGCCTAAGCCCAGCACAGCTTGGGCGTAGGTGGCCCAGCCTCACACATACGGGCCACTCTGCATTGAGCAACACCCAAGGCCCACCATGTCCACAAGTCTGCAGGTCAGGTCTCTTGGGCTTGGCACTTTGACCAGCAGTGTCATCGGGGGCACATCACTTACCCCCTCTGTGAACACAGGGTTCTGAAGGGGCCCTTTAAGGATTAGGACTAGTATGTTTACAGCACCTAGCCTAGCTCTTTCTCCAGAGTTGGGGCTTAATAAAGGGCAGTAATTAGACCAGCAGGTCTCCTCTGGAGGCCAAGGAGCCCTGCCCGGAAGCCCAGCATACTCCCTGGAAGCTGTGTGACCTCGGGTAAGTCATTAGGCTCATTAACTAGCTTTTCTCACCCACCTTCTGGGGTTGTCAGAAGATCAAGCATGTAGAAGAGATTAGGATATCGCTCCATAAACCTTAGCTGTTATTATCATCACCATCACCATCATTACCTGATTCTTAGGACAAGTGACTATCTGGCCAGTAGCTGTTGCCGGGAATGCTGGAGCCCAGCCCAGCTTAGGGCATGGAAGCGGGCTTCTCTCCCTTTCTACCCTGTGGGAAAGGTGCTCCATTCTCCAAGCGGACAGTTCATCAGGCAACATATCATCACACACAGGAAGCTTTTCAAAACTCTTAGAACTTTAACCCCTCACCAGGGATCCCTGGGCGATCCCGCCTTCCTCCATGAGACATTCATACCTAGGGTTCCTATCATTAATTTAAAAGGGTTGGAACCACACAGCTGGGTTCATGGGAAGGTGTTACCATAGAAAACCGTTTCAGTCTGTCCTTTTGTTTCTGGACCCAGGACTCATTCTGAGAGCCTGTGTAACTGGGTTATCTGGGTGTGGGCCACCCACTGCCTCCAGAGGCCAGCCTCTGAGGCCACACTGGGCCTCTGGGAGCTGAGGGAAGACAGCCTGCACGGAGGCCACTTGCCGTCACGTGAATTTCAGGAAGGCTATGACATCTCAGACCACAGCATGCTTTAAAGCTAATGAATAGAACATTTATATGTATTTCTGCTTATTATAGCATTTATCATTGAAAAAATTAAAATACAGAATAGTTAAAAGGAGAAAATAACCAAACCACTATTTCACCAGCCAAAGGTAACTTCCCTTAACATTTGGTACAAAGATTTTAAATAGTTTAACTTCGGATATGTATACGTGGCGGTCATGCACTTTTAATCTAACAAATGAAACAGATCTTTCTGTATCCTTGTATTGTGTTTTGTGCTTAATAGTTCATGAAAAATTTCCCAAATCATTAAGTGTTTCTTTGAGACATGAATTTTGGTAACAGCCCTAGTACTGCATCCTAGATGAGACCAGGATTTATCTACTTCTATTTTTGAGATGCTGGGTTGTTTTCAATAATTCACTATTATAAATAACACGGGAGTACAGGCACTGCCCATTGTTCTCTCAGGGAATATTCCTGGAGTTTTATGTGGCGGATGTAAGTGGGTTATTTTTAAGGCTCTTGATACAAATTCAGGCCAAGATATTTTATATGTAACAATAGAAGTTTAGCCCGGGAGCAGTTAGTGTGTATTGAATTCATATTGAGCAGAGTGAACACCTTTTAAATTGGACTTCGCTTCAGAGTCCTGAGCGATGGATGGGACTAGGGTTGTGAGGGCTGCCATCCCCCTCCGCAGGCTCTGAGCTTTTCAGGGAGGCCCCAGGGTCAGCCCGAGCAGCTCAGCACCCGGAGAATCCAGGGGGTGTGGGCTTTCCTTTTCATTTCTGTTTATGTACCTACATGCAGCAGATCGACGGCAAAGCCTTCCTGCTCCTGACGCAGACGGACATCGTCAAGGTGATGAAGATCAAGCTGGGCCCGGCGCTGAAGATTTACCATTCTGTCCTCATGTTCAGGAATTCCCAGGACCTCACTGAAGAAGGTGCTGTCTCAGGCCCAGAAGTCAGGGGCTAAACGCACCACCTGAGCTGCCGCCGCACTGTGACCTGGATCTCTCAGCAATAAAGTCGGCCCACACTGATTTGATTTTAATGTCCCCACGGTCATATCCATATTTAATCTGGACCTTTTCAATGGCTGCAGCTTATACGTGTAGAGGGTTTTGATGACTGGCCAGTGTGGTGACACAGAGGCCCAGGTCTGTGAATGTCTTTACCTTCAGCAGGTCCTTTCAGCTCTGATGTGTTGCCCCAAACAGACCAAAGAAACCCACACATACACCTTTATTCATCTCCCTTGCCATTAAAGAAGCCATTTCCCATTTTGAAAGCATAAAATTCTCAAATGGTAAAATGTCAGAAAGATGGAACTCATAAATACATTGTTGGTGTTTTCACCAGGACGTCTGAGCTTGGCGCGGGCTTGCCATCTGGGTGCAGTGAGTCTGAGAGACAGAGGCTGGTGCTTTAAACAGATTTCATGAGATTTTTGTGTGCTTTACTCAGGAATGTGTGTCTTTAAAAAATAATAATAAGCACATGTTTTCATGATTTGTTAATTCTTTTTGTTCCATTAATTGTTTCTTGGTTGGGCTCCAAGGAGTAGCATGAAAGCAGCCCCAGCATTTAGCAGGAGCTGGGGAGGCCCTCCTGCGGATCCCTCACCAGCAGTGCCCTACAGGCTGTCTGTGGGGCCGCAGGGAGGCCTGTCATGACACCTGCATTAGCCAGTGGGCCAGACGCCTACCTGCACCGAAGTCCTCCCGGCTGCCACTCCGAGGGGCCTCACAAGAACGGGTTTGCACTGCAGTCTGTCTGGTGTGTGATAAGGAGTGTGGTACATGTGGGCCTTGTGTGCACCTTTATAGGGACAGGCCACTGAAAGGGAGGGGGAATCTCTAACAAGGGTGCTTGCTATCTGTTATTTGTTTGAACACTTCTGATTGATCAGACTTTACTTGTTTTGTGTAAGTGACTTTATCTGAGACTTAAGTTACCCACAGGGACCCAGTCCCACTGTTTTAAACACAGCACCTCTTTGCTGACACACACCTATAGTAAGAGCTGCAGGAGCTCTTGGGAGTGGAGTGCCACTGTTTTTCTTAGTGGGCAGAGGAGAGAAGTGGCTAGAAGAGACTCAGGCCTGACCATACCCATTTGCTTCATTTAGAGTCTTATGGTTTAAGAAAACGAATTCTGCTTGGAGAGTTTCTCCAATTGTAGGTCGCTGAAAAAATATTTTCTAAGAGGTGTTGCAAATACTACATTTCTTTAGATCCTTACTCAAATGGAATTTTAATAAGTTATTGGTTGATATAAGTTTTTGTTTCGGTGGACCTTTGTTTTGTTTTGTTCTGTACTCTGCTGTGTACAATTAAAATTCTTGCTTCTCCATGTTCAAATTTTAATATATTTTAAATGATAATAAACCGATAAAATGAAACATTCACCTCTCTGCCTGAATCTGTTGTTATAACCTGTTCCAGGCCACACCTGGAGGCTGCTGTCTTACAGCCTGCATGGATAAAGGTCTTGCCACATGGTTTAGCCAGCTAATGAGTCACCATTTTTGAGTACTTGGGGTATGTTTCCTTAGGGACGTAAATTTGGCTGTTAGTAACTTGAGAGTTTAATTTTATAATCTAAAAATTGCTCATTGTAGAGGTTCATGGATGACATGAGGTTTGGGCTTGTATATTTTATACCTGTCATTTCAACAGAAGGATCTAATACAGAACGGATAATATGGAGCCAAATTAAGGCTGAACTACTGTATTCCTAGAAGATAGTGTGATCAGATAGAAAGAGCTTGATCCACTTATCTACCTGCTCCCTGGACTTCCTCATTTTGTCACCCAATATCTCAACCTGGACATACTCAAAAGGTAACTCAGATGGCCCCACCCTAGTATTCCTCATGTAAGTGGACAATACCATCATCACAATAGCTGCTCAAGCCAGGAAACTGAAACCGTATCAATTTCTGGCCTATAAATTCTTCTCCGAACAGTACCTCACTGAACATAGAGACAAGAGCTCCCTCCGTGGCCCCAGCACCTGAAGGCATTCACACCTGGCCACGCCCTGCCTCTACCTTTCTCTTGGGCCCCTCTCACCTTGGTATTCGCTGATCCCTCTGAAGTGGTCTCTCCCATTCCCTCTCCCCTCTCCAGTAGACGTTCCTACACCTTGACTGTAGGTTCCCATTCATGGCCCCACAGCAGCTGAGCCCCCCCTCACATTGCTCCTCACTCCTCATTGTTATTACTTGCTTCTCCCTCCCCACCAGTCCACAGGTCTGTGAGGACAAAGACCACGGCCTTCTTGTCATCACTTAAGCATCTGGCATTTAATTGGCACATGATAAGTCATTTGTTGCATCCATGAATGAAACAAACCAATCAAACTCTGATTCAAATCTCAGTTCTGCAACTTCCTAAACAAGTGTAACTTCTCTCTAAAAGAAAATAATTCCTACCCCAAGATGTTTTTCAAATTGTATTTGCCATGTACAATTAATGTACATCAAGGTAACCGAAAACACACGTGTTTAAGGTGCCTGACACCTAATGTAGCTATCAAACAGGTGTCAGGAATAAACAGCAACAGTAATCCATTTCTTGAACGTTCTTCCAGGAAACTCCCACATGCAAACCCTGTGAATTTTCATCAAACCTGACCCCCAGGAGCCCACTCTTCTTAGTGTGGCTGTGTGTTAGGGTCCCAGGAGCATACGGGGCAGACCCTTGGGGCCTTGGTTGCCCTGACTCAGCTCTCCCATACCCAGAGTCCATGCCATCCAGGTCCCTTCCCTCTCCCCAGGCCCTCTAGAAAGGCTGCAATATCATGCGTTGAAATCTTTCGCTCTGACAGGAGGACCCCTAGCACCCTCAGGCAGCACCCTGAAATGCCCAGATGATGTGAAGGCCTCGGCAGCCTCTAGGTACCAGCCTCAGCCTTCACTCTCCTCCTCTTTGCCTGAGTCCCACTCATGAACCTGAGGGACAAAGCAAAACAAACTTCTAGGTTATTAGAAAGAGTCCCCTCAAAAGACCATTTGTACAACACATCCTAAGTACACATCATGATACTGGAAATTAGTCCATTAGCAAGAACCCTAAGGGAGTTTAGAACTTCTGAGACCACAGTCTTTAAATGCCTACAATTTCAAATAATTTTTGCAAAACTAAACTTCTCTCACTTCCAACAACAAACACATTCCAAGAAAAAATTATCCTCCATCAACTCTAAACATCTGTTTTCTCCCTCTGTGATTAGGTGCTAACCTTGTATAACCCGCATCCTAAACAGATTCCAGGAATGACAGCGCAGGAGCCGACTCCTTGTTAACGTGGAGCTGTGGGCTGACATCTTTCCCTGGCTGAGTGCCAGCTCTCAAACACGCCAGGGATCTCTTGGCCAAGTCCCCTTTGCCTGTGGAATCTCCATCTGCTGAGTGAGGGTGCGAAGCTGGGAAGTGCAGGGGGAAATACTTGGGCTTTACAGCGGGGCCCAGGCTTGAATCCCGAGGCCTGTGCCTACTCAGTGCCTAATCTAGAAGTATTTCTTCACCACCCAGCAAATGGCTAACTTGCCACATTTACTCATTTCTTTTGAAGTTTTGAGTTTTGATTATGTTATGTTTTGCTTCATATCATTTTAAAGAATGTTCAGTTTGTCTCTACAATTCCCAGGACTGAAAAATATACTCTTGAATGTAAAGTGCTCCTATGAATATATTCTTAATATTATCTCTTATAAATAAATTCTTCTTAAAAACTTATCCTAATAAATATATTTATAAGGAATTTATTTGTTAATAGATCCTTGAATAGTCAATATCCTTAAATATTCTATGAATAAAGATATAAATGAATATATAAATATTCACAAGAAATATGTCTTTTAAAATGTGTTTTGTTGTAGTCTCTCTGCCCTTCCGTCTCTAGCTGCAGCAAGGTGCTGGGGTGGCTGAACTCCTAAATGTGTTGCTGTGAAAACAAGGAAAATGGGTCAACTACCATGCACGTTCAATGAGTAAACTTGCTGACTGGGCCATGTGGTAGACTGGAAATCACAACTTGATTTCTCAGTGAGGTTGCCTGTTCCCAAGTCTTTGCACCCTAACTTCTTTCAGGCAGATGATGGATTCTGAATTCAGTGATCAGTAAGACACAGCCCAGCTGCCACTGCGGAATGCCCGGGTGTCCACATGCGCAGGCTGGGATACCCAGCAAGCCCAGAGCACCTAATAGCAGCCATGAAGACTCAGCTCTTAAATGATGAGAGCAGAGGACTCTGGGCACGGTGACCACAGCCTGGTCCTTCTCTTCGGCACCACAGAGTATGAGGGACAAAGCTTTGCTGTCCAAACCACTGTTTGCTGTTTGGTCATAGGAATTACACAGAGATGGAGAAAAGTGAGACAAAAGGATGTGTGGGGTTAAAAGAAAAAAAAAAGAACCACCATTAAATAAAGAATGGAAAGCAAAAGGTGCAGAAATGAGACTGAGTTTAAAATATTGAGAGTTGTTCCTCCAAATAGTTCTATTTCATGGGATCGGAGTAGTCGTGTGCAGTTTTACCTGCAAGGCAACACCCATCAATTTCCCATTTACTTCAATTTGAAATTAGATTGTGTTCCCTTTGTTTGAGGAACCTTGCCATCAAGGCAAATTGATGCAGGAAGAACACGAAGTGCTGAGAAATCCCAGGTTATACCCAGATGTTCCCACAGTGCATTTTCACCATCCTTGAACTGCAACTGATAGCAATTGTATTAAATACCACGGGGACCATTGGAAACACAGGAGCCTGTATTTTACTGTGAAATGCTGGGTCTCAAAGGTCTCTTAGTAGGAAAATAATGTCAAGAACTACTGGTTATGATTAGCTCAAGTTTCATTTTTTAAAAACAAAGAAATAAAAAGTGTGTTTACAGGATAGGTTCTCCAAGGTGCCTGAGTTGCTTCGTCAACTAGTTCCGTGACTGGGAGGGTGTGGGACGTGCTCCCGCAGAGGCGGCTGCTTCTCTATAAACTGTCCCATTATTTGAGGTGAGGGTCTGCTCTGACACTTCGCTTCACAAGGCAATGAGGACTTGGTTTTGTTTAGTTTTGTTCTGCCCAAGAAGAAGCAATTCGAATCTCATTTGGCCTGGGTTCTCCAACAAAAAAGAAAGCTAAGCCAGTCAAAAATCAGTTTATTAAAGGAAAACACAGACAGGTTACTTGGTGTTAGTGATGGATTCTTTTTTCTTTCATTTTTCAACCAATTTGTAGCCCTAACTGGTTTGGCTCAGCGGATAGAGCATTGACCTGTGGACTCAAGGGTCCCAGGTTCTATCCTCCAGAACAAATAGCTGACATTTTTTACTCTTTTATTTTATTTTATTTTTTTAAGAATAGATTCCTCCCCCCCCCCCGCCCCCTCCCCCCCCCCCCCACACACACACACGCACTGGTGCCTTTTAGGCTGGGAAAGTTAAAATTCACCCGGGCAAATATCCATATTGTTGTTCATTGTGAAAATTATGAAATCTATTCATTCAACAAATATTTATTGGGAGCCCAGTATGTGCCATGTATTTAGAATGCATCTATGGATAAAGAAATAAAAATATCTCTTTATGTAGAGCTTAAACTCAAGTGGTGGAGACAGAGAATGAACCATAAGCATAAAATAATGCCGGGAGCCAGTCCATGCTTGCTGTTTCAAGGGACCTGGCATATATGGCATACTGTTCTTAATATGTTTGCTCACCTTCTTGGCACTATGTGTTTTAACCAAGGTCACCTCTCTGAGAAAGGTTGTTTCCCCAGGTAGGGATTTTTCCCTGAAGTTAGGGAGGGAATAAAACCTCTTAACTAAGTGCCAGGCGGGTAATTAATCACTTTAACTACGAACAATCATGCTTAAGCTACATAATCTTTACTCCCTGGAATGGAGATAAGAAACGCCCTAACCTTTGTAATAGAGATTGATAGGATTGAATCAACTGGTATAAATACAGATGTAATAAGACAGCAAGACACAGAACTTAGAATACAGAGCTTAGAACACAGAACTCAGAAGACAGAACCTACACAGAATCTACAGACAGAAGAACTTCACTGGAGAGAACATGGCAAAAGATCCTGGACTGAACCTGACTACAGAAATTGGCAAGAGAACCTGACTAGAACCTGGTGACCAAACCTGACTGGAGAACCTGGACAGAACCTGGCTGGAGAACCTAGCAAGAGAACATGGACACAGAACCTGGCTGGAGATCCTAACCAGAACTTCGCTGGAGATCCAGACAAGAACTTGGCTGGAGATCCTGGTTAGAGATCCTGGCTAGGCTGCTGATCAACTGAACGCCGTCTCCGTGTCCTTCCT